GTTCTTGAACGCCCCCATGTCCCAGACCGGCCTTTTCGGCGACACGGTGGAGAACTTCGCCCAGCAGTTCTCTGCCGCCCAAAAGCAGACTGAGGCCATCAGGTACATCCTGCCCCGGCGTGCAGCTGCTGCCTCCACCCGGCCAGCTGTGGCAGCGCCTCAGCCCGCTCGTCGCCGAGGGCGGCCCCCGGTAAGACCTGGTGGTAAGCGAAAGAGCAAGAGGCCCTGAGATGGGCGACCCAGAGATGGAGCACCACTCCCTCCCCCGGAGGAGGGCCGGGCGGAGAATCTGTTGTTTCCTTTTTTTCTGCCACTGACCTCTCGGTCGAGAGTGACCGACTGAAAGGGAACGTCTCGGTTACGTATGGTAACCCTCGTTCCCTGAGGGAGGGAACAGAGATGTCACGTCCCGTCGCCACAGCTCCTGTACCACCGCTGAGCGGCCAGGTCACTGGCTCGGCTCCTCAGCGAAAACCTGAATATGCGCTGCATCTGCTGCCTACTTATACTCACGCTGTGATCAGTGGCAGCTGGATGCAATAATCGCATGCCAATGTGCATTGGCTCATTTAGTTTACACTCGAAGTAGATTGGTCTCTCTAAGCGAGATCCCAATTCGTCGGTCATCCGACGTGACGTCTCCGTTCCCTCCCTCAGGGAACGTGGGTTACCATACGTAACCGAGACGTTACTGCTACTGACTCTCTTAAAATAGAATTTAATCATTCATCCTTTCCCCCATTGTCTGAAATGAACAATAAACTTGCAAAACAATAATGTAGTTAAACATGGTAATAAACATAATAAAAGTTAGTCACTCTCCATCTTGGAATGCAGCCTAGATGTGAATGTCTGTGCCAGGTTCTTGTGAAGACTTTTAGATACAGACTGAATGACAGCCAGAATGTTTTAAATTGGATGGAAATTCCTCCATAAATGCATAGCACAAGCATTGAGAACCTTTTTGGACATTAATAGGACTCTGCTAGGACTTGATAATAATAATAGGCACTTGAACCTCTGCTGGAAATAACATTTGTGGTTATGTGCATTACACACTCCACAGAGCCTTTTAAGACTACCATAATAAAAGTATGTAGTGCTTCATACAGTCGTATTATGTGATTTACATTTCTCTACATGTCTATCTGGCATCTTCACGCCTGTTACCCCAGTGCCATCTAGTGGCGGCAGCTGGTCAAAAGTCTTAAAGGGTAGGTTCACCCAAATATGTCAATTTGAAGTAAAATGTGCCAAAAACCATTACCAAATTAAATGTAAAAAATCAACAGACAGACATAAGTCTATACAATTAATTAATTTAATTGTACAACACATTATGATTTAACAATATACAGTGTTCTATTCAAATCAGAACATAACTTTTCTTATATTATTGTACTTTTGTATATAAATCATTTGTCTTCAGACAGCCAGAAAAACAGCTAACAAATAATAACAACAATTCACATCTGTCAGATGAACTCTGTAAATGTTATTTTGCAGCGAAATATTATGAAAATAGCAAACATTTACACAGTTAACAACTACTTTATCAACTAGTGCCAACTTGAGCACCTCCAGATACACAATGACTTCTGATGCTTAGTTAAACGGACCAACACAGCGTTTTTTATGTAAACTGTTGCTTTTAAAATGTATATTGTGTATGTGAACGTCATGAACAAGTCTGTCATATTCCACCACTAAATTAAAATAAAAAAGAAAGAAATTATATTTTGCATAAATAAAAAGTTAAAACTTTAAACTAAAACTTAAAATTAAAATCAGCATACATGTAAGGCAGTACAATGTAACCATGATGTATAAATACAGTACTTCAAAATCTTTACTGGACAACAGTTGAGTTTTTTGAACAAAGAATTTCAGGAAATCTGCAAAATATCATTTCTATTTTTTCTTTCTTTCTCATTTGAATGAAATATGAGCTATGCATGTTCACTCATGTATTGTATTAATTTAAATGTACTTAATTTCTTAGAGCTGACACATTTTCTAAAAGCATTTGTATCCCAAACCATAAGGAGATGGAGAAGAAAAAAAAAAGATATTCCAGTTTTCACACCCCTGGACTGGGCTGTTTAGCAGGGATCAAACTGGTCTGGACTGGATTTACACCCAGCCTGTGTAAACATCAATTTGAGACAGACAATGTTAAAGAAGAGCAGTTAAAGATAACAACATTTGGCAAAACTATTAGTTTCCCGATTCATTCTGTGCTTCATTAGTGCAATCCAAAACATCAGCCAGCGTGTGGGAGACTTCCAAAAGCTCTAAACGGCCTTTGGTAAAATACACTGATTCATCTTTGGGAGCTGAGCAACATTCAACAGTCCCTCTTGTGTGTGAGTAAACTAAAATATGTATGAGAAGACAAAGTATGAACAGTATTTTCTCATAAAATGGTGATCTTTGGAATGTCTTAGATACAACTGTGGCCCTGAACGTTACTTTTTTAAACATTTAAATTAACTATTAATGTTATAGTGTATCTGTGCAAAGCTCTTCCGTTTAGGGTAGACAAACAGAAAATGTGGCCCACTATAAATAATATACAATTCCTTCATTTAGATTTCTCTTATATTCCAAGATGGAACAAATGGTAAATCGCAACATTGCAGGCTATTGGCCACTGGATTGTTTTTACCACTACATCTAAGATGTGCTGCTGCTTTGTGCCAAAGGATGTTTTTCAATAGTTTATACATAGCTGTTCTGAAATAATTTATGACTGAAGGTCAAGCATTTTATTTAATTTTTTTCATTGTCGTAACTATGCATTCTTTTGATTTTGTGGTCAAATATGATCTGGATATTTCTCAGTGAGATTCAACCAAAGATTGCTCTAAATAGCGTAAAGATTGTCATCAAGATGAGTTTAGAGTCGCTTTGTGAATGCGTGAATGAAGACTTTCTGTACTGAATTTAACTTAATTTAGTAACAGTTTAACATGACAAAACATTAACAAGTAACTGCTGCTCGTCTGTAAGACATACATACATGAAATACTTGGTAAAAATGTTCAGTAGCACTTTATTTTACAGTTCTACTGTGCATGTATGTACTATGTCCTTACTATAAGTAACTAGGTACTAACCCTAAACCTAAATTTAACCCATATTAAGTCCAAGTAGTTACCTTATATTATTCAGTACTTTCTTGTGTAAGTACACAAGTATAAGTATACTACTGCAAAATAAAGTGCAACCAAATGTGCGTTTCTGAGTTTGACACCCTTCATATCTAATTAGCGTAATCAAAGATAAGCAAATCAATAGATGAGAAATGAATCTGCTGACTGCTACGGCATTATGACATTACAATTTAGAAGAAAGGCATTTTAAATCATTTGAAACGACACTTTCCCAAAGTCCAATTTGGGAAGATATTCTGCTAAAAACACATGAAGCACACTTCGCTGAGAGGTGAGATTTAAGTGAGTTTTAAGTGTGTTTTGCACACACAGCAACAATGTAAACACGTTAAAAAAAGGCTTTGTTTATCACTCTTAAAGGTCATTTGCACTGATAGTGATTTGCAGTGACAAAGTTCATTTACATCCATTTTCAATGAAAGTTTTTGATTTCTGGCAACTCGAACAGTGACCGCTGCAAAATGACAGTGCACAAAGTTTAACTTTATAACTGACCTGAATAAAAAAATAATTAAAAAAAGAAAAGTAGGGTTTTTTCCCCCCAGCTGACTACTAGTACAAATTAAATGTAAGAGCTGCAAAGGTCAAGATCGAATACAGTGCACGAGACATGAACTATAACTTTATGTTGCCTCAAATTGCTCAAAATCTGATTAAAAATGATTAACTTCCCGTCAATTTGTTGCTGCAAAACACTATAAGTGTGAACACGCCTTATAATGCAATTACTGCAAAATTACATTTCATATTAATCAGTATTTTTGTCTTATTTTCCAGTATAAAATATCAAAATTAGACAAATTTAATTGAGAAGGAAATTACTTGGTTTCAGAGAAACATATCTTAAATTAAGCTTTTGATTCGTTTAACCTAACAAATTGTGGTAAATTGTCTTTTAAACAAAAATACTGATTAAGACTTTTTTTATGCAGTGTCTAAAATGTTAAAGACCGTACTGTGTGATCGGCTTCCTTAACAAAACCTTCCTGTAACATCTTCCTGGATAAAACCAGAGATGAAATCTGAATCACTGAGAGACGAGTACAAAACATAAATCTGTACACCGATTAGTGTGCTTTTCTTTAAAAAGCCAAAAAGGTCACAGTCACATGACGAGAGGCCACCCGCATCCCTCAGGTTGGAAAAGTCTCTGCTTTGAGATGCAGAAACCCTCGCTGGAATGTCAGAATGTCTCACCGAATATCCTGCTAGTGATATCAGATGCCCACAATCGTACAAATTACAGTCATTTAAAGTTCATTAGACAGGACACACTGGTCTCCAAATGAGATATCCTCCAGAAGGATAAAGGGTGAGTTACGTCTCAGGGTTGGCTGTGGTCATGATCTTCATGTACCGGGTAAAAATTGTCTCAAAGGCCTCGTCTCTGTGTATCATGGCACCAAAGACCAGTGGCTGTGAGAACAAGATGAAGCGATTCACTTAATTAAAGCAACAAGATAGACAGCATAATTATTTTAATGTGGGTGATAAAGTATATCCAACTTTATCAGCATACGTTCAATACACTCACAATATAATATATACTATATAGCATAACTCAACTGCTTGATTGCTTATATCGTTGCAAAATGTAAACTATATTATCGTCCGGCTCTAATCTGCTAAATGTGTCTACAAGGCATGAATATATTAACTGTGGTCATGATCTTCATGTACCGGGTAAAAATTGTCTCAAAGGCCTCGTCTCTGTGTATCATGGCACCAAAGACCAGTGGCTGTGAGAACAAGATGAAGCGATTCACTTAATTAAAGCAACAAGATAGACAGCATAATTATTTTAATGTGGGTGATAAAGTATATCCAACTTTATCAGCATACGTTCAATACACTCACAATATAATATATACTATATAGCATAACTCAACTGCTTGATTGCTTATATCGTTGCAAAATGTAAACTATATTATCGTCCGGCTCTAATCTGCTGTGTCTACAAGGCATGAATATATTAAGATGTTATAAACACTAACATCATGATTTTCTGTAAAGCAGCTTTGAATATGTTTATTGTAAAAAAGTGCTATACAAATAAATTTGACTTGACTACCTTCTGTGTTGACGGAGTGGCAATAGAAATGCCCATTCCAGACCCAGGCAGAACTGATAAAACTTTGTACTGTGGAAAAAGAAAGCCAAGAGTTACTGTAAGAGTAGTATAAAAAACTTTTTTTCAATACATATTTAACATGATATATTAAATATTATGGTAACAAAATGTAAATTTGGATCAACTTCACCATCAGGGAAATTATGGAACACCAGCCATTCAGATTGGAGTTTGACATTGTTCTGTCATCAAAATTGTCATCATTTACTCACACTCAAGATGTTCCAAACCTGTAGTTTCTTCTTCTGTTGAGAACAGAAGATATTTAGAAAAATGTTGGTAACCAAACAGCTGACAGTAGCCACTGAAATGCCATAGTGATTTTTTCCACACTATGAAAATCCAACCATCAACTGATAAGTTACCAAAATGTCTTCTATTGTGTTCAACAGAAGATAGAAACTCGTACAGGTTCGGAATAACTTGAGGGTGAGTAAATGATGACAGAATTTTGGAACACTGCACAAATGTAGGCTGGTTTTCAGTCTGGACATGTTTGACACTAGTTGTTGAAAGTCATTGCCAATCTGCAGAATTTGTTGCTCCAAACTGCAAATCTGAGCAAAAGACAACCAGTGTATTCCAGCTGCAAAAAATATATGAATATTTGCAAATCAATTTTATCATAATTATTGCTGTATTATAATTGTATAAAATTATAATGAGCCTTCCTGTAGCTCAAACAATAGAGCACGGTGCTAGCAACACCAAGGTAATGATTCCCAGGGAAAGCAAGAACTGATAAAATGTGATTTGTGTGTGTGTGTGTGTGTGTGTGTGTGTGTGTGTGTGTATGGATAAAAAGCAAATGCATAAATGTAAAATGTAATAAAATGTAAAAATGCATAAATGTAAAATGTAAATGTATAATTTAGAAACTCCAAAAATGTATGCATATTTAATCAAAATGCTCTTTACATGCAGGTCTGTGTGCAGCCCGTGATGCACTGCTGCCACCTACTGTACACCTGCTGTATAACACAAAGGCATAGTGCTCATTTGCAATAAGTGAGTACATAATAAATGGTCAAAGGTTCATAAAGTAAAAAAAAAAATTGAACAAAGCTATTGCTTTTCCTGAACAAGAACACCTGCCCACTAGACATCATGTGGAATACATATTACAAATATTATATTTATTTATTTATATTTTTTTAGTTTTAAATGTATGTGATTTTGACATTTTGATTAGTTTTATTAATGTTATTAATTAAGTGTTTAATAGTTTTATTCATTTTATTAGTTTTAAACATATTTAATTTATTAAACATATTTATTTCAGTTCGATGTTTGAGTGTAAGTTTTATTTCAATGACCGAAAATTATTTTTAGCTGTTTTTAATTTTAGTTAAAGATAACAACACTTGCACATACCTTCTGGATGTCTGTGATGTCCTCCAGTTTGATGACTTTGTTCTTCTTTGAAGACCCTGATCTTGAGCTGGAGCTCTCAAAACACAGGTAGCTGTTTGGATGGACAACCAATTGTAATTATACTGCTACTGCATTAATGTACATCAAATGTTGTTGATGTACAAATGTGTGAAACTATTCATAACAGCATGAAACAGAGTGAAAAGTGTTGCCAGCATCTTGCTGTGCTCAACAATTTAGATAATGAGCAAATGTTTCTTACTTCTCAGTGACATAGAGCATCCCATTGCGAATGTAGTCAGTTGGAATTTTCCTATCTCTGTTTATCAGACAGCATCTCCAACCATTCTCACATACTGCAAGAGAAGACACCACTAAATGACTCCCTTGTACAGAAAGGAAAGAGAAGTGAGCAAAAATCTGTTAGGCGTGTTCAACTGAAGTCACTTTCCTTTTTTTAAGTACTCTTTTTCATTAGGGATGCAAAGTCTCATAAGACAAGTAGCAAGTCTAAGAGAGGTCTCACCGGGCAGAGGTCTCTCATTCTCAGGTAGGTTGAAGATCTCATGGAATGCTCCTTTCTTTGTGCTGTGGGAACGGCCACTCTCTTCCTCTCGGGTCACTCCGGCCGGGATGGTAGCTAAACTACTCCGTGATACCACCGGCTGGATCTAAACATAAAAAGGAGGGATGTTAACATATATATATATATATGTTAGGGGTGGGACAATATATCGATATGGCGATATATCGTTGTCCTCCATGCGATACGAGAATCGATATCTGGCGCCAAGTATCGATATTTAAATTACTACAATAAGGCGCTCTAAATAGATTTCCCTGCTCCCAGCGTCTAAAAATGCGTGGAAATTGTGACCGCGCCATTTCCACCTTCTTTCCAAAGCGCGTTCTCTATGAAGATGGGAAAGCAGGAGGAACTGAAGGATAAACAGATTCCAGCCACTGTATTAGCTCTACTGCTATATATATGTTTATGGAGATGAGAACTAAAAAACTGCCCTGGAACAGCTATCAGCGTGGACCATAGGCACTGATCACGTTATTACTGCAGAGTTCATATTCAGTCCATGAGTAGCCTACCCTCTCCCCTCGGATCGCAGGTGGATT